GCTCTACTAGTTCAGTGTAATAAAACTTTTGGCTCATTACTGGGCACTGTAGCATTAGCACAATTTCATTCATTTCATCTGTAGGTTTGGGCTCTGCTCCTGCCATCTCTATGGAGGGACATCAGGATGGAGGGGTCCAGGTAGTGTGTCAATCATCCGGGTGGTACCCACAACCCGAGGCTGTGTGGAGAGATCACCAGGGACAGCGCTTACCATCGGTCTCTGAAAAGACGTCCCAGGAGGCCGGTGGCTTGTTTCAGACAGAGACTGCCATTGTTCTAACAGAAGAGTCCAACCGGAAGGTGTCCTGCCACATCAGGAACCCACGACTCAACCAAGAGACAGAGTCAGTGATTTCCATAGCAGGTCAGTGCCCCGAGTCACTTGGCATGGGACAGTTGTGGGCGTCTAATATCAATATAGATATAAACTTTCACCACAATAGGAGCTGAGGGTGTTTAGCACATTGCAGGCTGGGAGATCATTGGAAAGATTTTCATAATAGTTCAGTACCCAGCTGTGATAGGTTGGACTCCTTCGGGATGTTACCTGCTATACTGGAAAGCAATTGAATCAACTTATTCTGCCACCCTGGGCCCCCTTTACCTGGTCTTGCTGGGCCAAGCTCACAAGCATGCAGGCGGGACCACACCCCGCCGCAGAATAGGGACCTGCCACTGCTCCAAGAGTTCACCTTTCTCGAAGTGCAAACCCAAAACTATATGAAATTCATCCCCTCCCTCAATGTGGGAGAAGGTATGCACAACTTCTCCCTCCCACCCCCCCCCCCCCCCTCTGCTTCTCCACTTCCTACCTAGTCGATTTCACTCCCATAAACAATTATAAACAAAAAATATGTTAACTAAGTCTAGAAAAGATGGATTTTAGGAAGTTAAAGGGGAAGCAAACAGAACAAAGCAGATTGATAAGGAAGTAAAACAAAGCACACAAACTAAGCTAGATTCACTAAAGAAATTGGTTATAAATTGTGATTCCTCCTCACCCTAGATAGACATAGGTCTTAGGTAGATTTTTTCACGGGCCAAATATCTTTCCAGCCTCAGTCAAGCAGTTCTTCCATCCCTGCTGCCTCTCTGTTCTTGTTTCCAGGTGTTTTCAGTGTCTCTTTGGGTGGGGATGCGGAGGACAAGCAAACTAAAGACCCTGATAGTTTCCCTCCCTGTCTTACATAGGATTTCTATAAGGCAGGAATCCTTTGTTTGATTTACCCAACAACTAGAGGAGAAGTTTGGCTGCCCAAAATGGAGGAGTAGTATCAGGTCATGCCTTTTCATTGTCCATTGTCCTCCGTGTTAGACCACAATCCCTGTCTGGCTTTTCCATTGTTGTACCTGACATTTTAGCAGTGGACATCACCAAAATTAGCATAGCATAGCTGAACTATAGCTATATTAGTTAATATTCCTAACTTCATATGCAAAAACGATGAATCCTGTGGCACCTTAAAGACTAACAGATTTATTTGGGCAGAAGCTTTCGTGGGTAAAAATCACTTCATCAGATGCATCAGAAATGGCTTTTACCCATGAAAACTCATACGCAAATAAATTTGTCTCTAAGGTGCCACAGGACTCCTTGTTGTTTTTGCATATACAGAATAACATGGCCACTCTCTGAGGCTGCACAAAATTTTGAAATAGCCTATTTTGAAATAAAATTGAAGATACTCAATTTGCAACCGTTTGCCATCAGGAGGCAGTAAACAAAGAGTTTGCATATCATCCCTGATGACATCTCAAATATCATGTACACAGATGGTGTGAACAAGGAACTTACAGTTCTTCCGATAGACTCTTTGAATATCACGCATGCAGGGGAAATTTTGAAATAGCCTATTTCGAAATAAAAATTGAAGTAAGATACTCAATTTGCATACAGCAAATTACATATCTTATTTTGAGTTAAGGGTGCAGTGTAGACGCATCCACAGAGGGATAAACTATCTTACCTGCATAATGAGGTTGATGAGAGTTTTTGCATTGCTAACAATAACGATAAAGAATCAGAGCTAAAACATGCCAAAACATACACTCAACAAAAAGCATCTTAATTTTTAGGAAAAAAGTTCATATTTTTTTCTGTATTATTATCTACCACATAGCTTTGATAATACAGAATGAGTAGTCCAGCTCTGTAACAATAATGATGTTGCATTTGTCAAGACTATTCATCCAAGGTTTCATAGTGCTGCACTGCTGACAAGCTGATGGTCTGTGTTCACAGCATACTCAGAGAGAGTTAGAAACAAAACAAAACTTCTTCCTGCGAGGTTGCAGTGTAACACTGCTTTAGTCCCCCAAATCCTGAGCTCTAACACCCCACAGCCAAATACAGCAGCTGACAAAGCTCCTAGCACAGCCCAAGCCTGCAAGCAACACCAAAATACCCTCAGATTCAGAGTGGCAGTCTGTAATTTTTACACTGTTTTCAATGTGTCACACTAATCACATAGCAAGGACCCTCTTGTCAATATCACCCCTTTTTAGAGCCCAGGGAAGAGGAACGTGGAGGAATTTTTACTCTGACTCTCCAGGCTCAAGTTTTGTTTGTATTAAAATTGTGCATTAATATATTTTGGGCCTGGCTCTCTCACGTGGCTGAGCCCTGTGAAGGGGTGTCAGGAAGCCCTAGAGCAGTGTTTCTTAAACTTTTTAAGACAGAGGAACACCAAACAATAATCCTTTTTATGAGGACCACCAAGGACTTTTTGTTGAGAAAAAAAAAGAGGCCAGGGAAAAGTTATTGAGAAAAAAAAAGGGTTGGGGAGAAAGTTATTGAGGGGGAAAAAAAGTCACCTGTCCCTTTAAGGCAGCCATTTTAAACTCTGTAGTTCTCCCCGGCATACCTCCGACTGCCTTGTGGCACACCAGTGTACCACAGAACACAGTTTAAGAAGCACTCCCTAGAGACTGCCTGAACATATGGGGGGGGAGCACCACAGAGCTCTGTCCTACCCCTTCTCTACCCTCAACACACCTCTTTCCATTAATTAACCATCCTCAGTAAGAAGACTAAGGTCTGGACTTTCATTGACCTATTAATAAAACACCCAGGAGACACTTCTCCCTGGCTGTGTCTAGACTGCATCCCTTTTCCGTAAAAGGGATGCAAATTAGACACATCGCAATTGCAAATGAAGCGGGGATTTAAATCCCTCCCGCTTCATTTGCATAAACATGGCTGCCGCTTTTTTCTGGCTCGGAGCTTTGCCGGAAAAAAGAGCCCGTCTAGATGGGGATCTTTCGGAAAATAAAGCCTTTTCCAAAAGATCCCTTATTCCTTATTCCTTATTCCTTTTTTTATCCCCGCTTCATTTGCAATTGTGATGTGTCTAATTTGCATCCCTTTTACGGAAAAGGGATGCAGTCTAGACACAGCCCCTGTGATTCTTTTACCTAGTCACAGTGTCACCATTGTCATAGTGCCCTACCTCTGTGCTGCACGTGTTTGCTCCCAAATCAATGGCACTTTCTCTTGCAGAGCTTTTTTTCCCGAGAGTCAATGCCTGGATGGTGTCTGTGTGGGTGAGCGTGGCTCTCCTGGTCACTGTTATTGCGGTGGCCAGTTTCTGCTTCTGGAGGCAGTACCATGCAAAAGGTGATGTAACAGGATGGGGGATTTGGGCAGGGGAGAGAGATAAAAATGAAACACAACAGTAAAGATACTGGGATTAAGGGGGGTTGATTCCATGTTTACAAAGTTTCAGGCAGTGGGAAGGAGGGTGAATGGTGATGTCATGTAAGTGTCAAATGGCTCCACCCCTTCAAAGCTCCCTAAAAAATCCCAAACAAATGTGATTCTGAACTGTCCCTTGGGATCAGCACAGCTTACATGGAAACACCCGTGTGGAGTCCAGCGAGCTAAACTTGGAGCACCAACACAAAGCACTTGGCAAGAAAAAGCTACCAGCAAGTAGGAGGGGGGATTTCTTCCCTTCCGGGTCTGTCCCCTCCAGCCTCTGCATGTGCCCTCCCTCCCCATCCAGTGGAGTAGGAGCTGTGAGTGGGAAAGTAGTGCTAATGGAAAGGTTGGCAATTACTTTATCTACACTAAGGCTATGTTTACACTGGCCGGTTCTTGTGCAAGAGATATGTAAATGAGGCTAAGCATGGAATATCTCTGAGCCTTATTTGCATACCTAATGAGCTGCCATTTTTGCCGAAGACGCTCTTGCACCAGAAGGAGCTGTCTACGCTGTCCCTTCTTGCACAAAAAAACCCTCTTGCACAATGCGGTTCTTCCTGAAAATAAGTGGTGTAACGGTATTGCCTCAGGGGAGAGCTCACTGAGACTCTGCTTACGCCCCTACACACACTGCACCACCAGGTGTGAACTGGTTTACTTTGTGGTTTTGACAGCTACATTATGAGGGTTGGCTCTTGGTTAGGTGACAGGGTGTAGTAGGATTTCAGGCCATCGAGGAAGGAAAATGTCCCTTTTCCATGAGTGTGGCTCCTTGTGGTTGGAGTAGCAAGACCTAGCAGTGGGAGATCTGGGACATGCCTTTGCTCTCAGGACAGAGCAGCTGTATGGCCATTATTTATAGGGCAGCTCGTGGGGCAGCGAGGCCCCATGGCCAGTGTTCCCTGTAAGCCTTGCACTTTGGCAGTCCCCAGAAGAGATCCAGGTGCTGTCCAGCTGATTAGCAGAGCACCCACAGCCAGCAGTGTGTGTTTCTAGTGGTGGTGTACATCCACATATGCCTTGGTGCACAAAACAAAATTTATTCCCCATACTGATGGAAAAAGTTAAAGGGAACATTGCCCATGGCCAGACTTTATACGGGCTGCCACTCTGTCCTCAGGGCAGCGATGCATAGTGGCCAGAGTCAATCTGGGATTCTAGTCTCCAGTAGCCGCGCTCAGTAGTCACCATCGCAGGCAGTAGCACCCAACCCTCTGATTGGCTGCTGACTCCAGTGGGAGGTGCAAGAAAGGGTAGGGGGATCCAGGCCTATTCTAACCCTCTTTGCCCCAGCCCCGGATCCTGGTTTGAGGTGAAAGTTCCCACCTCAACAAATGCTCCTCTGGGCTGCTTCCCATCTGTGCTTCCAGCTCTGGTGTTTCCTCCTCTGGCACCAACCAGCTGCCTTCCTCTGTCTCTGTGTGTTCAGCAGCCACAGTCTCTTGGAAGGAACTCACAGCGTGTGTTTGCTCTATTCCTGCCAGCCCAGACTGGCTAAACTGCACCTTGCACAGCCAGCATCCAGCAGGAGTGTGTCCAGGAGGGGTGAGGAGGCATGGCCTCTTGCACCCACAGGCCACGTCCAACCCTTGCTGGGCCAGTGCAGGGCTGAGACACCCCCCCCACACACACAGGCATTAACTCATTTTCAGTCACATGTGAAGTTTGTCTCTGTGCCCAGAGAGAACCAGGCTGGGCTCATTTCCAAGCACTAAACAATCTGAACAATTAACTGCAACAGTCTTGTTCCCTGGGCCTGTCAGAGAACCCCCGGCACCAGCTGCATGGCTGGGGCTGCTGTAACAGCACAAACACACCCAGGAACGGCCCAGCTGGCCTGAACGCTGTTCACACTATACACAAGATGGTCCGGCGCAGGCTGTGACTGGAACACATGACGCTACCTCCATTGCCTGCAGCGGTGGGACCCCAGGGTGAAACGCCAAGGGGACGAGCTCCAAAGAGCAAAGAATTAATCTTAGAGGCGATGTCTCTAGGTGCCCATCTGCACCTGCTCCCTGGCTCCTGGGCTACGTCTATACAGCACATTTATTTCGGAATAAGTTATTCCAGAAGAAATCTTGCAAAATAGCTTATTTCGAAATTGCACGTCTACGCTGGAGGGAAGCCTCAAAATGAGTCCGGGGCAGGCTCCCCTAATGCAGATGTGCTACCTGGACGTAGAGCCCCAGAAGGCACTGGGCAGTAATTACTTTGAATGGCCCTGAAGAGGAGCTATTTCGAAATAGCTGCAGTGGAGCGTCCACACTTCTGCTATTGCAAAATAGCTATTTCAAGAAAGGCGTTATCCTTCCTGCAATGAAGGTTTACAGAAGTCAGAATAATCTGCTCAGTATTTTGAATTTATTTTGAAATAACTAAATTACAGTTAGATACTTGGACGACCATTCCGTTCCTTGAGTATTACTAATGGCCCTTACTTAGCATGTCTAGTTTAGTAAAATAGATTTATATTTCATATTTCTAACTTCAAATGCAGGAATGATACATGCACACAAAGAGCATGTCTACACAGCAGCGTTATTTCAGAATAATGTCAGTTATTCCGAAATAACAGCACGCGTCTATACAGCAAGCTCATTATTTCAAAATAAATTCGAAATAACGGGCTTCTTACTCTGACTTCTGTAAACCTCATTGCATGAGGATTAAGGGAAGTTGGGGAAAGAATGCTTTATTTCAAAATAACTGCTCTGTAGACAACATTAAGGGTACGTCTACACTAGCCCCCTAGTTCGAACTAAGGAGTCTAATGTAGGCATTCAAAGTTGCAAATGAAGCCCAGGATTTAAATATCCCGGGCTTCATTTGCATCTTCCCATGCGCTGCCATTTTTAAATCCTCCTTAGCTTCTCTCCTCCCCATCAACAGTCAGAGCAGACAGGAGGGTGACAGGGCCCAGGCTGGGGGGTGACACTCAGAGGAACCCCTAGAGGGGTTGGTCAGTGAGGGAGGGAGGTGAAGGAGGGTCAGTGCAGGGATGTTGAGACGGATCAGTCCGTGTGTCCTGCGTGTCAGTCTGTCAGACTCACTTACAGCCCAGGTACATTAATAGTGGGAACCGCACCACAAACACAATGGGGCCATCTCACCTCTCACCCTTCCTCCCTCTAGAGACTCTGCGATCTGCCCTGGACAGCGAGAAAGGTCAGTGTCTGGGCCCGTCACATAAATCCCGCCTGCCATTGTGAACTAACTGGTGGAAGAATTTCCCAAGGGCCGAGGGGGATTCTCCAGCCCTGGTGGTTTGGAAATCAAGACTGGGCTGATACATGAATCAAACGATCTACGGGAGGGATTAGTGGGGGGCAGGCCACAGCCAGGCTTGTGTAATGCAGGGCTCAGACGGGCGGGTCACAGTGGTCACTTCTCGCCTGAGAATCTACCAATAGATGAGTCACTCCCGTCCTTTTCTCTCTCTAGAGACCCTGCTGTCTGACTGGAAGGAGGAGACAGGTCAGTGCCTGGGCCAGGTATAAAATTACCCATTCCCCCCCTGAACACCACAGGATACAATCTCACCTCTCCCTCTCTCCTCCCGCAGAGAAACTGCGCTCTGCCATGAAGCAGCAGAAAGGTCAGTGGCTGGGCCGATGGGACGGGCCGAACATTTCACGTCTTGCCAGTCACATAGGCTCGGTAGATTTCTTTATATGGAAAATGCACCAAATTGAAAATGACCTTGCCCCCTCATTCCCCTTCATCCCCTTTCTTGCCTCCTTCTGCCTCTCCCCCTGTCCCCAGTCCCATCCTGCACTCATCCGTGGGAAGTGGAGCAACACAACTGGGGAGCTGACCCCTGTTCTGATTGCCAGCCTTCCCCCTGCCAGCATAGTCCCCTGGGCAGCATGGCCGGGGGCAGGAGACTTGGGTAAAGAAATAGGATGGGATGGAACAATGATGGGGAGAGGCAGGGCAGGGGCAGGGAGGGGCAAAGTGGGGACCAGGATAGAGGGGCGTCATGTGGGGCAGTCACATGTCCTCCCCCATCAACATGTCACTCCTCACGGGCTCTTTCCCCTGCCCCAGGGTGCCCCGCAGGCATCTTCCTGCTGCCCTCCCTTAGCTAAGGGACTTGCTGGACAGGCTTTTGTGGAAACCAACAGATCTTTAAGCCGTCACCTGATCCCTAGTCCCAGCACCAGCTGATTAGTCTCAGATGCGCTCAACTCGCCTTAAAGGACCAGCCATCCTGTGACACTTAGGGAACATCTACACTACAACGTTAATTCGAGATATCTTAATTTTAAATAGTTCATTTGAATTAAGATAATTCGAATTAACTCGTCTACACACAAAATGCATTTCGAATTAGCGTTTTGCTAATTCGAAATACCGCGTCCACACTGAGTGGACACTGATTCAGATTTAAGGCCAGCTGGAACCAGGTCTGGCAGGACATAAGGTCAGGAGTTACCTTGTGGCCAGAGTGGCCACCAGGGGAAACTGGGAAGGGCTGGAGGCCCCCTATTTCGAAATAAGCGTCTACACAGCACTTATTCTGAATTAGCTATTTCAAGTTTGGCATTACTCCTCGTAGAATGAGGTTTACCAAACTCAAATTAAGCGCCCCACTATTTTGAATTTATTTCAAAATAGCGGTTTGCCTATGTAGACATTATGAAATTTAATTCGGAATAATGGCTGTTATTCCGAATTAACTTTGAAGTGTAGACATACTTTCAGTCTCTCTGGGTATGCCTACACTGCCACTCTAGTTCAAACTAGGGTGGCTAATGTAGGCAATCAAAGTTGCAAATGAAGCCCGGGATTTAAATATCCCAGGCTTCATTTGCATCTTGCCGGGCGCCGCCATTTTTAAATCCCCGTTGGTGCAGACTCCGTGCCCGTGGCTACACATGGCACGGAGTAGGTAATTCGAGCTAGGCTCTCTAATTCGAACTACCTTTACTCCTCGTTGAACTACCGAGCTAGTGTAGACATACCCTTGGGGACATTCCTGTTGCTTATATGGCCGGGCAACAACATAAGTAACACTGGTTCCAATAATCATCAAGGTTTTAATAATCTGAGTTCTGCAGAATGCTGGACTAGGAACTTTAAAACAATGGATGGCATTTCTCAACTGGTCAGGACAGCACACTATGTATGCACTATGTATGCACATAATATATGCAAATACTTCCTATGATTCTTCATAGAAAAAGCAGGATGTCGACAAAACTATACCTGCGTCTACATTACCGCTGAGTTCTGTCAACATAACGTCGACAGAACTCAGCAGTTTTGTTGACGCTGGTATACCTCATTTTACGAGGCATAACGCCTTCTGTCGACAGAAGGTGTTATTGCATGTAAACTGTCCTTCGCATCTACACTACCATGTGGGCAAAGCAGCTTGCTTTGTCGACAGAACTGAATGTAGTGTAGACGCTCTTTGTCGACAGAAGTTTTGTCGACAGTATCTGTCGACAAAACTTCTGTAGACAAAAGCCTGTAGTCTAGACGTACCCTCAGTGAATGCTCTGTCTGCAGTCGCTATCTGGAGTTCCTCTCTTTTCATTCTATCCTAGATCCTCTGCAATCCGGCTTCTGCCCCCTGCACTCCTCTTAAACCGGTCTCACCAAAGTTTCCAACAACCTTTTCCTGGCCTGGTCCAATGGCTTCGCTGTGATCCTCATTCTATCTTCTTCCTCCTCCTCCTTCTGACACCCTCGACCCGTCCAGGCATCTCCATTAAATCCTTGGTTTTCCGAGCTCCCTTCCTCCTGCTGCTCTACTTGCTTCTTCATTGCCTGTTCTGCTGGATCCAGCTCTTCCTGTCTCCCTCTTTTAGGCTATGTCTACACTGGCAGCTTCTTGCACAAGAACAGCTGTTCTTGCACAAAAACTTGCCTCCTGTCTACACTGCACGAGTGTTCTTGCACAAGTAAATTTACAGTACAGCGTTGTAAAACAGGGCTTCTTTCGGAAGAGTTATTCCTCTCCCAAAAAGGAATAAGCCCTCTTGTGCAAGAGCTCTTCCAGAAGAAGCCAGCGTAGACAGACAACATGAATTTCTTGTGCAAGAAGCCCCTATGGTTAAAATGGCCATCAGAGCTTTTTTGCGCAAGAGAGTGTCCACACTGCCATGGATGCTCTTGTGGAAGATTTTTTACACAAGAACTCTTCCGCAGAAGAATTCTTGTGCAAGAAGCCTCCAGTGTAGACATAGCCTTATAGTCTGGACTGTGTGTGAACAGGAACTAGCAAAATGGAACTCAGCCCTGAGTGTGTGTGTACAGGGCCTAGCATCTTTGGCCCAGGCCCTGAGTGTGGAGCCCAATGCTGTGTGAGATCCCTAGATGCAAGTGGATGCAATTAATAGCGTGCAATGGGCAGGAGATTGGTAAAGGCTTACGGGGGTATGACCCTGGGTGGGACTTCCCAGTGCGTGTGTCTGTGCTGTGGATGGGAGGAGGGGTGGTGAAGAGGGGCAGGTGGGAAGGTTTCAGGGATTGATATGGGGGGGACAGAGAGCAGTGATGTGGTGTCAGGAAGCCCTGCCCACTGGTCTGGGTTTACCTGTGCAATGTCTGAGGTGTATCACTCAGCACATGTAACAGCAGGGGCAGGACAGTCTGGGTCTCTGTCCCTGTAGCAAACTGACTCCTGTGCTGTGCTCTGCTTAGCGTCTATGGACAGACCTTGCAGCCCATTTGTATCCCCAGCAAGGGAGACGCTGCTCTTAGCTTGAATACTCAACCCTAACCCGCCATGTCTTTTACTTTCCAGCTGACTACGAGGCAATGAAAGGTGAGGGCATGTCGACTGGTTTCAATTATGTTTTAATTGGAAAAGGGCCACTCAGAGCAGCGTTAGTTACAAACTGATGTGTTACCGAACAGGTGACAGACATGACAGCAGGGAATACCCAGAAATAATGAATGGAAAATTTGTGTCAACCCTAACCCGCCATGTCTTTTACTTTCCAGCTGACTACGAGGCAATGAAAGGTGAGGGCATGTCGACTGGTTTCAATTATGTTTTAATTGGAAAAGGGCCACTCAGAGCAGCGTTAGTTACAAACTGATGTGTTACCGAACAGGTGACAGACATGACAGCAGGGAATACCCAGAAATAATGAATGGAAAATTTGTGGAATTGTAACGTGAATTTTAACTGGTTACCAAGTTTCCATGATGCCTATTATA